CCAGTTCGTGGGAAGTGGGAGCCCCCACCACTTACCGCGGGACTTACTAACACAGACGTAGTCGCTACGTCATAGCCTGTACGTAGATGTGCTGTTCCAGCAACCGGGAAGTCCGTTGCCTGGTACTAGCGAAAGTCGGTTACGGATCAGGAGTTGTGCGAGACAGGACTCTGGATCGGGAACTGGTGCTGATGCGTTCGCCGGGCCGCTTTATATACCCGGCGGACCGGCGGAGCGCACCGGCCGGTCTCCCACTCACGCGATTCGGCGCGTGGTGGGGCGGTCCCTACGGTGAGGTTGCGACACGGGTGTGAGAGCTTAGCGGCGCCCATTCGTATGAACGGGATGGGAGAGAATCGAAATAGGCAAGCAGAAATTTATGAGAAACCAAGACTTAACAAAATAATAATATATTAACAAGTTTAAGTGGTTGAAAAGAAAATAGAATAATTTCGAAAATTTCGGCCTGTTCGTCTGCCTCAACGTGTTAACGTGGCCGAGCGCAAGAGTATCGCGTTTCACGGAACGGGCAAGTAAAGATCGATTATACGGTGGATGCGAGTTCCTGACGTGCGGAGCGTGTTCAGGCCTCGGTAGCGACGAAAAATCCCTTAGATTTCGATACAGATAACCTGCGCTCGCCCACAATTATAAAGATGTTGTTCAAGACGGAATACAAAGGCGCTCGTATAGCAGCCGTTATTCGCGACAGTAGTTTGTAGTGCCGGGATATAATCTCAATATCGTTATTTGGATCTGGCTCTTCTCTAACTTCCGATTTTACAATTATTATGACGACAGCAAATGACGGGCGCTGCGCAGAAGAGAGAGAATCGTAATTACGCGACTAATGTGACGCAATTATCTGAGGATACTACAATTCCACGCAATATAACAATTGTATAATATCGATAAATTCTCCAAATAATCTGTGAAATACTGATTACCTAAAATATACCGGAAATACAACACTTACACGGCAGGCGAGATTTTCACAATGCACGAGATATATTCAAGACGCGAAATATCCGCGGTATATGAGCTCGCTGCAAGACAATAATCAGACACAAAAATGATAAATCAAAAAATACAAATATGACTGTCGGCGGCGAAGTTCCTGGGAGAGAGAGTACTTACACGATACAAGGAAGGCCCGGATAAGCCGGTTTGGCCATGCTATTTAATCTGAAATGCGAAAGTACGGCAAAAATTCGGAAAAGACCAGAGTAACTTACGACAGCGATGAATAAACGGCACGATTCATCCGAACCACAACTCGGACTTAGCGGCTTTACAGCAGGACGACATCTGTCTCATCGGTTTCCAGCTTCTAGCGCGTGGTTTGCCTCGTAGAGATAGTTTTCACTATGACTTTCGCTCTATAAGCTGGTCCGCCGAACAGTGACGAGCGGAAGGTAGGAGATACGTCGGCATATTAATTTATCAGTAGGCCACTTGTGGCGTTTCCGGATCTTCAGGATCGTCGCGTGATCTTGTTGTTCCTTGCAGCCCTCGTGATATCGATCTTATGGTCCTCAATAGCGTCTTTCCTCTCGCCTCTCCCTTTGGGACGTGGAGGACATTTTTCGGCAGCGTACAGACTGATCCGGACCTCTTCTGTCCCTTCGTGACTCCGGATGGTCTCCTTCTCGATTGCATTATCGATTTTGGATTTCATCCGGGTCGGAGCTCCGGACTCATGCACCGGACGCAGTCCCATACCTCCGTGTCGGGGTTCCCATGCAAGTAACATGCGGAGGGTCCCTCCCCTTCGGCATCCTCGTATCCTGTGGGCAGCGGTTTTCTTAAAATGCGACAGCGACTACTCTCTGTCATGATTAAATAGGTGATCTCAAAAACCATGATGCCATTACCTGGCGTGCTCCGTGTATGTCGGATCGGACCTTTACTCGTCCTGAATGTTAACCTCTCGTGCACTCTGCTGTCCTCGGATGAGATCTCGTCACTCTCTCTGCTGCTTATCGCCATTAAGCTAATTCTCTTAGATTATCACAAAAAAACGCAACAAAATCGCGAGATTGCGTCCGAACCTCTCCTTAAATCGAGAGAACGGAGGCGTGCGCGACCGTACGCAGCCGGGCTATTCCCCCCTTGTGACGGACGATCAAAGACGTCACGTCACAATATATATAATATACAGGGTGGCCCTGAACGTTCCAGCCAGACTTTGAGATCTTATAAGGATATGACGAAATATTAATATATACAGAGTATTAAAAAAAAGAGTTCAGACTTTAAGGGCAGTACTCATGAGGGGAAAAAGTCCGAATAAACATGGTTCAAAAAATTAATATTGTCAGAATTATGAATAGTTCTTCAACAACGAACTATCTTACCATTTCTTCAGCCAAAAGAAGAATTTGTTTTCCAAAAGAAGAAAAAAGAAGAACTTTCTTCAAACTCAGAGTTTACAAAAGGTTCGTTCTCACGATGGGGCACTTTATTAAAGTGAATCCTCTCTCCTCTCACGAAGATGCTTTATTAACGTGAGTCTCTTTGCCTCTCACGATGGAGTACTTTATTAACGTGAGTTTCTCTTGCCTCGCATAATTTTTTCTAAACCTGCAGAAAATATTTTTTTTATCCTACTCTTAGCGCTTTTCGGAAACATTAGTCATAAAAAATTAGTAAATAAATTTTTCCAATAAGTCAAGGATAATTTTTTATTGCATCATTTTTCAATGATTTTTCAGATTAAGACCCATATCTCCGGAATTATTTAAATTTCGATTATCATGCACAAATTTGTTTTATAAATAATTAGAATTATCTTTTCTTCTTTTTATGCTGATAAATTTGTAGTTCATTTACTTTATTAAGTTTTCAGTTATTTAAAAATTTAGTAATTTAAAAATCATTTTCAAACGCTAAATTTATATTTTTTTCGTAACTAAAACTTTGGGAATAATAATTATGGCTGATTATATACTTCTTCAGAAATTGTTGACATGTTGCTTATTCTCGATAAAAGTGTCATAAAAATTACTATCAAGCTACTGCACTTTACCAAGCTCAATATCCAAATAAACAACATTCGAAAAATTTATGCAGTTATTCGAAATATTGAATTAAAAACTCGCGAGAGTCGCTTAACACGCAGGAGATCAAATCAAGTCTATCATGAAAATGATGCATGTGTTGCGCCGCTCAGGCTACAATGAGACTGTTGGGATGGTCTAAGGATTCGGTTCATCTTTGGACTCTGAATGTCGAAAAACGCGAGACAAAGTTCCGTGCAATAATGATTAATTTTGCAGCTTACAATATCTGCTTGGCGATGCTTCGTAGTAATAGAATATCGGCGTCAGCGGAGTCTCACTGCTTTCTTCGTGTTTAATTGTCAGTATTTAGATTCGGAGTACAGTCCCGAGGTACTCGTTACCTCTGTTTTTATTGTCTAAATGTAGGTTGATTTTCGGTAGTAGATCGCGATGTCTTAATTGTATATTTGCAACGAATTGCATGTCTTGCATTTAATCGCGGTTTCGGGAGGGTGTGCAATGGCTTATGAAATGCTGATTTCGTGCTGCGCTCCTTTTAAATTTTTTAGATCATAATTACGTTATTAGATTTCGAATTACGACACGTATATTTTCCGTCTTAGTAGCTATTTATCTTAATCCTCATATTAGTAACAAATGACAAATGAAAAAACAAATAGATATACCGAGAGCAACAATTCTGAGAATTTAAAAAAAAAGTCAAGTATCATTGATGCCACATAACATTAAGGCAAGCTCTTACTCCAGACGATATGAAATCATATATGCAGTTTTGTCAAAGGACAGAAGAAATAATAAGAAATGAATCAGCTTTTTTTATAATGTTATGTTTTCTGATGAATCAACATTTAAAAATACTGATGAAATAAGCATAATTGTCATTACTAGTCAGATATTAATTTTCGTTGGTATAAACAAATAAATGCTCAACATCGCTGGAATATAAACGTTTGGTGTGACATTATCAATGGTCACCTAATAGGTCCATATTCTTTTGATGAAAATGTGAACAGAGAGAACTTTTTGGAGTTTCTAAGAGATAAACTTCCAATTTTGTTTCAAGATATTAATTTATATATAAAGTAAAGAATGTGAATTCAATTGGATGGGGCGGGACTACATTATGCACGAATTGTAAGAAACTATTTAAAAAGATATTTTAATAGAAGGTAGATTAGACGAGGTGGATCCGTACCATGGTTCGCGCGATCGCCAGATTTGAATTTGCTTGACTTTTATTTTGAGAGGTATTTAAAGAATGTTGTCTATGAACAGGAGTCAACAACTAGAGAAGACATGATCAAAAGAATTTAAACAGCTTGAGGAAACATATTACGGGATATATTATTACAAACTGTCACACATTTCCTGCAGAGAATTGCGTTATGCATTCGAAAAAATAGAAATATATTTGAACATCTTCTGCAATAAGTCTAGGAAAAATCATGCGAAGCAGGAGGACTCGTGTTTATAATGCACCCTATCGTGAGAGACAAGGAGACTCACGTCAATAAAGCCCCCTACAGGAAACAATAACTACTACATGCACGCTGTTGTTTCTATAGCGCTAAAAGTAGAATTAAAATAAAAAATATATTTGAAAAATTCAAGGTGACTCCGAGCTGAGTTTGAGCTCAGTATGTCAAAGTTAACTAAGGTCATCAACTTCTTTTTGTCTCAAACTTAATTGCTTTAAGATAATGGATTAACTAAACGTTGACCTGTTAACTTTCAAGTTTTATATTTCAGCAATGTTTTATCGAAAAAAGGCAAATACATAGCATTTTGAAAAGTCTTGAAATCAACTACAAGAATGTGAAATAAAAAATGGGAGTTTTAAAGGTTTTAAAATATCCCAGTAAATTAAAATAAGCTGCATATATTGGATGATTGCATAAATTCGTGCCCGATTTTCATAGATGGCATTAAGTTACTGGTATGTATGTATGTATGAAGATATATACTATTTGATTTTAGGTGTTTTATCATCCGATGGTTACTGCAAGCCTTTTGATAATGCCGCAAGCGGTTATTCGCGTAGCGAAACCGTATCGGTGCTATATCTTCAAAAGGCAAAAAATGCTAAAAGAATTTACGCTACATGTAAACATATTAAAATAAACAGTGATGGTTACAAAGAGGAAGGAATAATGTATCCATCGACGCATGTTCAAAGCAATTTATTGACGGAGTTTTACAAGGAGTGCGGAATATTACCATCTTGCCTAGATTACATTGAAGCGCATGGTACTGCTACCAGAGCTGGCGATCCTGTAGAAGTGAATGCTCTCTATAATGTTTTGTGTAAAAACAGAAATACTCCGTTGATGATGGGCTCCGTAAAGTCCAATCTTGGTCACGCTGAACCAGCCAGTGGTTTTACTCAAATCGCTAAGGTAGACTAAATATAACTTGTATCTATTATAATGTTTTTATAATAAGGGAAGTATTATAGGCAATTTGAAGTAGTAGGCTCTAATGATGAATATCTTGATGAAAGAAATGGGCTAATTGAGAGCCAGGCGCGGTTATCGAGGCACAGAAAAAAATTATCCTTTGTTGAATTTTGTTTATTTGGAACGTTTTGGTCCTTGGTTTGGATCCTCTTCAGCAACTACAAATTCTATAAAACATGACGCGTGGAATCGGATAAAAACCATGTAAATTTCTGATTATTATTTCGCATTTTTGTTTGTTTTTTTTGGTTCGTTTGGTCTAATATAATTATAAAACATCTCGGGCAACTGCGTACATAAACGGATTCTGTCATGCATCTCTTTCCGCGTAGACTTCAACAACATTCGCGGTGGACGGACGAATAAAGTCTATTTCCGGTTCCTGCCATATGGGACGAGTTTATTTCGCTCTGGAGACGTACTGGGTATGTCGTCTCTCCGTGGCGGTCGGCACTGCATTCATTGAGCGAGATTCCAACATCGCTCTGGAGTCGTATAAACTGTGTTAAAGTGGCATAAAGTGTGAGGTCTGAATAGCTCAATGGTAAGAATAGTTGCCCGGAAAGCGAAAGACTTGGGTTCGATTCCCGATTCAGCCACTCGTACTCCGCATATTTTTTCAAATCCGCAAATATTGTTTTCTAATAATTATATGTCGGGCTGAAAGAGTATATAAATGCCCTACATAGATACAACAGTTACCGCTGCCACGGAAGAGATAGTTGCTTGGTACATGCCTCCTGCCGCCTCAAATCCCCCCTTACTTCAGTCAGTTTATACATGAACGTCTAAAAACTCATTTAACACATTCAACAACAAACCTAAGAATACAACGAGTAGTTATATGCACTAATAAAGAGGTATATGCACTAATAAAGAGGGGGAAATAATTACATACTTCAACATACCTTACATTCCGAAATTTTCCGAGCAAATCATACCCGTGGTTCGTGATTTACAAATGAAATTGTCTTACACCGCCATGAATAAACTTAGACAATTCATTCGAGTACAAAAAGATTCCTTACCAAATGAATCGCGAAAAAACATAGTCTACAAGATCTCTTGTAAAGACTGCGACGCCTCATATGTAGGATAAACAAGCTTTTAAAAACGCGAATAGCGGAGCATCGCAATCACATTAATAGACACACCTCACAACAGTCGATTATCACCATAGGCTTAACAATCACGAATTTGCATGGGGCAGAATGGAAGTCTTGGATGAAGAATACATACGGAAGGCGGATGACATTGGGGATTTTTATAAAACGACAAATAAACTGTTTAAACTTACAAAGCGACACAGAAAGCTTGCATCACGCATATCTCACGTTAATTGACAACCTAGCAAAAATGTAAAAACAGCGCTCGTCGACATTATCATCAATTTACGATACAACAACCGTTAGAACTTTTTGTTTATAAATATATCCGTCATGCTAGGAGACAAGTCGATGTAATTTTTGTTCAAAAATTAACAGTTAAGTTGCGTTCGGCGTGGCACATGGCAGCATCGTGGATGGATGGAGTAAGTTGTCTCATAAGCTAATACCGGTTAGAATACTCACAGTCTAACGCTCTTATCTCATTTATAATTATCAAGGTGTAGAACACTTATTCGTCCGTCCACCGCAAATGTTGTTGAGGTCTACGCGGAAAGAGATGCATGACAGAATCCGTTTATGAACGTAGTTGCCCGAGATGTTTTATAATTATATTAGACGTAACAACAAATAAAAATGCGAAATAATAATCAAAAATTTATACGGTTTTTATCCGATTCCTTGCGTCATGTTTTATAGAATTTGTAGTTGCTGAAGAGAATCCAAACCAAGGACCGAAATGTTCCGAATAAACAAAATTCAACAAAAGATAATTCTTTTCTATCTCCCGATAACCGCGCCTGCCTTTCAATTAGCCCATTGCTCTCATCAAAATATTATAGGCAAATTACATTACGAATATAAGACAAGTGGTTCTTATACATCTTATATTGCAAAAAAATCTCTCTATCCATATAACATCGACATACGATAAATATACATCTTCCATGACATGGAAATAATATCCTGTATGTAAAATGTCCGTACATTTCATATACATGATTTAGATGTACATTACAATATACAGGGTGTACCCTAAAAAGTGGGAATATTGCAATGAGAGATTCAGGACACAAAAATAAGAGAAAAAATTCATATAAACATATGTCCGATATGACCGTGTTTTCAAGTTTTAGCTTGTTTTATTTTTCAACAGAATTAAGATAATTACGGTTACAGGAAGTGCTCAAAATGACTACCTCTAACTTGAATACAGGCTTCAACACGTCTCATCATAGATTGTCTGACTTTTTCAAAAATTCCGGGTATTGCTTGAATTTCCCGGCAACCATCTTCAACACGTTGACGAAGTATCTCGACGTTGTCAATGGGTGTTTTGTAAACAATGGATTTTAGATGCCCCCACAAGTAATAATCGATTTGGAATAATCGAGTGGATTCAGGTCTGGAGAGCGAGCTGGCCAGGCAATAGGACCAGCACTGCCTATCCATCTACCAGGAAACCGTTCAATATCTTAACTCTATTGGAAAATAAAACAAGCTATAATTTGAAAACAAGGTCATATTGGACATATGTTTATATGAACTTTTTCTCTTATTTTTGTGTCCTGAATCCCCCATTGCAATACTTCCCACTTTTTAGGATACACCCTGTATATAATATGAAGATTCATTGATGTATTTTATATGTACATATAGTACATGTATGTAAATTATATGTGAAGTGTAGATACATAATGTATATACATAATTTGTATATATTTTGTTGTACGTAATATGTATATACACAATGCTGTACATTATATACTTCTGTGCTAATTCTTCAATGTTATACATCACTTACATTGCACAATCTCTAGATACATACATTGCACATACATAATTTGTATATACTTTGTTATACCTAATATGTATATACATTGCTGTACATTTTATATATATATATTATGCAATTTTTACATACATTGCACATACATAATATGTATATATTTTGTTACATATAACATCTCCCTCTCTCTCTCTCTCTCTCTCTCTCTCTCTCTCTCTCTCTCTGCACACCGTGCATCACACATCGTCCTCCCGCGCCACCGCGCTCTCGTCTCTCTCTCTCTCTCTCTCTCTCTCTCTCTCTCCCGTGCAGCACAGAACATTTCAAATACATTACAGCAATGTTACAATCTTGCAAGTTGCAACGCAACATTGTAGAAACATTACAGGAACATGTCACTGTAATATTTCATGATAAATGTTATTGCTACATTCTAAAAACTTTTCAAAAAGCAGTATTCAGCCGCCAGTTTATTTACCGTTATGCGACGCGCGATGCGTTATTCATCTCGTATTTGAGTTTTAGTCATGAGAATTATATAATTGTTTGCAAAGAGCAATTAGCAAGAAATTAAAAGTGTAATAATTATTTCTATGAGTTTAATTTCTAATACAATCCCAACACAGGGAATTCAGATATTGGATTGTTTAGAAGTCGGACAGATAAATGTCCGAAGAAGTAAAAATCATCCGTTTTTTATTATCTTACTTAAGATGTAATATAGCGTCTAATATCCATATAAATAAAATTTTGAACTTTACAAATTAAATTATTTAAATTTAATCATTTTATTATTTATTTAATTGCATTACTAAAAATATGCATACATGCTAATGTTGGTATAACGTTTCCTTATAATCTTTCTAAAGACGGACATCGTAATGTTGCCACAATCGTACAGCAATGGTTCGCAACAGCTTTGCAATCTTTCAATGAAATTATTATAATTATAATTATAATTTTTTAATAAATTAATGAGATGTTTGCAGTTAATGACATTAAACGCGTCATTATACGGATAATTTTTGAATAGATACAAAAATAATAATAAAACTATAGGTTGTTATATATCTAATTAATTTTATTGATTTTTAAGGTGATAATAGCATTCGAAACGGGTCTTATTCCACCAAACATCAATTATACGTCACCAAGAAATGATATAGATGCTCTTGTAAATGGAACTATCCAAGTGGTTACAGAAGCAATGCCACTTAATAATGGTTACATAGGCATTAATTCTTTTGGCTTCGGGGGGTCCAATGCTCATATGTTACTAAAATGGAATATCAAACAGAAAGTTAACAATGCAGCACCGAGCGATGGCTTGTCAAGACTTGTGACATTGTCCGGACGCACTGAAGAATCAATAAACTTGTTTTTAAACGATGTTAATAGATATTTCAAAAGCAACATTATTTTCAATTATTAGAAAATATATTTGTTACTGTTTTAAGAAAATTGTTTGTCTTGTAGGTCGCTAATCATTCGACAGATGCCGAATATATTCGTTTACTACACGATATCCATGCAGATAATATAGAGGGTCATCCATGGAGAGGATATATTATATTGGACACTTTGCAAAAAAATTCAATAAAGGAGATCAATAAGGATGAAAATAATAAGAATGTAAAAAGACCTATTTGGTTTATATTCTCTGCCTTAGGCGCGCAATGGCCAAGGATGGGTATATATAATATATTCAATATTTTACGTTTAACATATGATAACATATTTAAATGTGATGAAACGATATAATTCCTAAACTAAAAATTTGTCAGGTCGAAATTTATTAAAATTTCACGCCTTTGCAAAAGCTGTAAAAATGTGCGACACTATTTTAAAATCATATGATATAAACATCATGAACATTTTGACAAATGAAGGCGAAAAAGCTTGCGAAAGCGCTTTACACACACTTGTTGGTATCATCGCTATTCAGGTAAAATAGTATAAATATACAAATTTATATGAAAATTATTGTATATTAACAATGTGAATCGTTTTTAAATACTATATAATTATAAAAATATCGATATAATTCTATAGGTCGGCTTAGTAGATCTTCTAACATCTTTAGAAATTACTGCGGATTACATGATTAGTCATTCTGCTGGTGAACTTGGTTGTGCGTATGCGGATAAATGTCTAACTATTGAACAAACTATTTTATCGGCATACTTTATTGGGTTAGCTTGTGTCGAAGGAAATGCGATTCACAGCTCTATGGCAGTTGTGAATCTTGATTACGAATGCCTCAAGAATATATGTCCAGCGGATATTGAAATAGTTTGCTACAATAGTCAAAACAGTAATATTGTAAGTGGGCCCGCAGAATCCATAAAAGAGTTCGTGAAAAAATTACAGGTATCATTTTTTAATTTAATTTTTAATCAGATTGATCTTCTGATTGATCTTTTTTTATTTTGAAAATATTGAACCTTAAGTTTTAATTTGTTTCATACTTGTTTGCATTAATTAACTACGTTTTGTCAGATTAATAACATTAACGTGAAAGAAATCTCCTGCGATATACCATATCACAGTCATTATCTCGCATCCGTGGAAACTCGACTTTTACATAATTTGAATCAAGTAATACCACGGTCGAAAAAACGAAGTTCAAGATGGATCAGTACCTCCATACCTTGCATCGAATGGTCTAATGAGATATCGAAATTATCTTCAGCAAATTATCATACACATAGTATACTAAATACTGTATTATTTGAACAAGCAACAAATTTAATTCCAAATAACGCCGTGACTATCGAAATTGCACCAGACGGCGTTCTGCAACATATCTTGAAAGAATCCTTACATCCAAAAGTGGCGAACATCGTACTGACTCAGCGCACTGAGCAAAATACCACCGATGTAACTTTGCAAGGGATTGGAAAACTCTACAATTGTGGCTTACAACCGCAGATCGCTAATTTATATCCGCCAGTGGAATTTCCAGTTAGTCGAGGCACTCCTATGATCTCTCCATCTATCAAGTAAAATACAGTGTTATAATAAATCTTGTTACATGTTGTTTATATAAATGTTACGTCCAGTGGACTCCATAATTCTTTTCTTTTCCACGATTCGAGCACATGTATAATTTTAGAAACTATAAACTTCAAAAATGTATTAGGCAAAGTATAGCAGGCGAGTCGCTATCATCTAGAAAATATCAATTTAAACATCATAAAATAGTAAAACTTCTGAGATTGCAACATTCGGTTGGATACAAATTTCATATTTTATTGCCGACCAGACGATAGCAAGGCGAATGTTTGAAACATACAGCGTAAGAGCGATTCTCCTGGTTGTTGACTTACTTTTCACACTTGATAGTTTGTTCGACCCGAGATATACGAGGTCTGATCAAAAAGTATCCAACCTTATTTTTTTTGCATCAACCAGCTGCAATCCGGTAACGGGACTAGCGCAGCATGCAACCTTGGATCTTACTGCACATGCACGATTTTTTGCCAGACTGCGCAGTCCTTTAATTGCTGCTAGGCAGCCGTGATAGTTGCACGTGTATTCGTATATTATGAAATGTGACAGACTCATATGTGCAGTAGGTCCAAGGTTGAATGCTGCGCTAATCCCGTTACCGGGCTATTGCTGGTTGACGCAAAAAAAAAAAAAAAGATTCGGATACTATTTGACCTCATGCATCTTAAGGCATATGATTTTAGGAAATTCTTGTTACACCCTTCTGACGATCTATTCCTCCTTGGATCTGGACGTAACATAAATGAGAAACGTTTAGAGATATACAAGCATGTATATAATATACATACGCAAGGTTTTAATGCTGGTTTATAGATGGGATCATTCTGAAGATTGGTTTGTGACAACCTATCAATCACAGAAGCATATACAATTCAGAGAAAGACAAGTCGAAATCAATCTCAACGACGAAAACTATGATTATATGGTCGATCATGTAATCGGCGGAAGAAATTTACTACCAGCGACAGGATATCTTGCGCTCGTTTGGGAAACTATCGGCATGATGAAAGGAAAGATATACACAACTATGCCGATAATATTTCGAGATATAAGCTTTATTCGTGCTACTCACTTATCGAATAATGTAAAATTGACGATTACTATACAGGAAGGTATTATGAAAAATCATTAAATTATTTCGTAACAGTAACGTTAAAGTAATATGATCTCGCAATTATGTGAAATATTAAATATAAAAATGTTACAGGCAGTGGAAGATTCGAAATTATTGAAGGAGATAGTGTTGTGGTAATAGGTACAGTACATACTGTATCGAATCCAGAACAAGAAATGATTCCGACCAATCTATTGCCGGAGGATGACAACAAAAAAGAACATATGACTGCTCGAGATATCTACAAAGAGCTGAAATTACGCGGTTACCAGTACAACGGCAAGTTCCGTGGATTAAAAAGCGCATCTATTTCAGGCAACAAAGGACATATTGCTTGGGAAAATAATTGGGTAACATTTATGGATACCATGCTGCAGCTGTATATTCTTGGAAACGATAGGGATTTATATGTTCCTACGAATATTAAAAAATTGGTGATCGATCCTGCGCTTCACTTGTCAAAGCTGCGGGAGATAACGACAGAAGAGGATAAACGTATGTTCTTCATTAATTGAAAATTTAATAATTAAAATAATCAATAAATAAAGATCTAAAATAAAAAATTTTTAACAATTTAAAGTTAAATAAATATTAGAAACATTATATTTTACTCATTGCATTATCATTAATATCGTGTAAAGGATCTTTGTAGCGAAATTGTTATTTCAATTCAGTCTCATTACAGAATTATCAATACGGATATATAGAGAAATAGGCGCAATTATATCTGGCGGAATAGAGATTCGAGGTGTTGAAGCTACTGTAATATCTCGCCAGAAAATAACTCAGGATCCCATTATCGAGGAATACATATTTGTAGCTCATCATGATCGCGTGAAGATTTCTTTAAGCGAAGCGATCCAAATATCGGCGCAACTCGCGTTGGAAGATCATCAGATCATTAAAGTAAAAGCCATTGAACTAATAGAAGATATCGATAATATAATGTTGGAAGAATTATCATCTTTGTTGCTGATTAAAACTCTTAGTAATATGCCGCTAATACAGGCAGATATTACTTTATTAACATCATTGAATCGTTTCAATCCAGTAGAATTACCACAAAATGTTATAATCGCAGATTTAAACAAACCATCTATAGATGATAAAGTCTTAATAGCTATCGGATTCAACCTCTTGACAAAACAACAAAATTCATTAGAAAAACTTTTGCCGTTCGTAAGAGAAGGTGGTTATCTGTTGACACGCGAAAAATGCAACATAATTAACTACGACAAATATTTGCGACAGTATGAATTAAATGTTATTCTCGAAAAGCGCACTGAGACGGAATTAATCGTGCTTTTAAAGAAAAAAGTTCAAGTAAAGAAAACGGCTGTCGTCTATATAAATAATGACAACTTTAATTGGCTCGAAGACTTAAAGTTGCTTATGAACGATGAGAATCAACTTGATAAAGATAGTAGAATCATAATTGTTGGAGAGGCAGACCTTGAGTGCGGTTTGTTAGGCTTTGTTAACTGTTTGAGAAAGGAGTCAGGCGGTGAGCTTGTCAGAGGTGTACTTATTCAAGACCAGAAGGCTCCTAAATTTTCTCTGCAAAATCCCTTTTATAAACAACAATTGCAAAAAGACATGACTATCAATGTTTTGCGCTCTAATAAAACCTGGGGATCTTATAGACATTTACATCTGCCGCGTCCAGAAGCCAAACCGGTACCTACCGCTTACGTCAGTCAAATGGTATATATAAATTTTTGCAAAGATTTAAATAGTGTATCAATAAAACTATCTATATATGTATGCGCAATAATAATTATATTTTTATATTATGTGATATAATAACTTCGCTATTTAAAATTTCGCTTTATATATATGTCGTATACAGGGCGAGTCTTTTTAATCTTAACAGGCAAATATCTCAAAACCTGTAAGTTTTAAAAGGAAACTTTTTAGACAAAAGCTGGTTCTGAGGGGGAAAAGAGATAGGAATATTAGTTAGACCTTGGGTGGCATTGTTAAGGTCATATCAAGGTCACATTGAATTTCTTAAATTGAAACTTCTATTTTTTTATTGCATATTCTTATAGCCCTTGTCGAGACCTTTTCAAAACTCTATAGGGTGTCCCATTTTAATGTCTCACCCCAAATAACTTTTTTATTTTAAATTGTAGAAAAAAATGTTTCAGACAGAAGTTGTATGGTTTCGAGGCGACCACATGATAAACAT